ATCATATCCACTGCTGAGGAAAATTGAGAAAATTATTAAATCTATTTTACAAATTTATCGATGTGAGTAGGTTATACAGATGATATATAACCAGTTGACTACAAAAAGGGGACAAACAAGTGCCATTGTATTTTTAACGACCAAAATAACGTAGGTTAATTGTAATTTTATTTAAATTTCACGTTTTTGGCAATATTTTTATTATTTTGTAATTGTAACATTATAATTTCCAATTACAACCTACTCTTAAAGATATTGCCAACGTTATATACTACCATGAACAAACACACAAGCCATTCACTGCAAAGTCAGCTTGCTGCACACATGAAGCTCCGTGCTGCACCCCCCCCCCTCAATAACTTACTGAACCAACCAACACCGTTCTGTGCATGTGTAGTATTGGCGAATACGTTCATAGATATTCCACTTACATTGAAGCAGAGCACCATGGGTATTCTCTAGTTAACAGTGTACGAACTCCAAAATGGTGAGTGGCTAGGCTGCTTTAAAATCGCCTTCTATCGACCATGCAATATAAACTACTAGAATTACATATCTTCATTCAAAATACATATTTCAATGTAAAATGTTATAGTTTGGATATAGTTGAAGACTGAATTTTAGTTTTCTGTCACTATCGAAATGAAAATTGTGTTTATGTTATGTTCTTAACGCCGTGACAGAGCGACAAAGACTCTCATATTTTGCTCTGTTTTGGAGTAACGTATATATACAACAGCATGCTATCTTGGTTACACATCTTGGTCTGGTTTTCCAAGTTGCAAACTTAAATAGATTAAAGGGCAGTAGTCGTCGCGTCACGCATGCATGTTAAACAAAGATGGCGACTTCGACTGTTGCGCAGATCAACAAATACAAACTGAGACGTTACCAAGCTTTAATTAGGTATTTTCATGTGATTGGAAAGTATCGGGGGAGTCACCGGCGGTAATCAGTGCACGCCCAGGTCAAACCTCATACTTGTGATTTCCATTAGAAGAGTGCAATCAATTTTATCAACACAATTGTCGCACATGCGCAGCGCGACGATCACCGCAATTTAATACTTTCCAAAACACAAGTTTGTTAGAGAGTGTGTTTTT